TTAAAAATATATTTTCTGTTAAAATATGTATATAAGTGTTTAAATAAATTATATGTGTCTCTTCACATTATACATATTTTAAGAAAAAATATACATATTTTAAAAAAAATATACATGTGATGCTCTAAATCAATACCGAATTAGATATATATATATATTTAAAAATATATATATTTTCTGTTAAAATATGTATATAAGTGTTTAAATAAATTATATGTGTCTCTTCACATTATACATATTTTAAGAAAAAATATACATATTTTAAAAAAAATATACATGTGATGCTCTAAATCAATACCGAATTAGATATATATATATATATATATATAAACAACTGCCATTGTTGCTTCGGTATTTATTGAGAAAGCCAATAAAGCCAATAATGTCACCTACTGTAAATGAGTCAACAGAATTCATTTTTCCATGGTATTAACTAGTCAAAAACAAATAATTCTAATAAGGGAAAGGAAATACATTTATCGGGCAGCTAGCTGCTACCAAGAGCAAGAGCTACCCGGCGTTCATTATTTCATTGACATAGTTATATGCTAATATATTAATATAATATTTGATGTGACCATTATATTTTATCATGTAAAAATGTTATTTATGATTGATAAAAAATAATTTATGTGATAAAAAATTATTATTTACGTAAAAAAATATCTTTTGAATGGTCGTAACAAAATCTACTAATTACTTTAAAATAATTTTAAACTCTATTATTTACTTAATTTAATTTATAAATATACATTATTTACTACGTTCTCATGTCATATTCACTTTTTTAAGATATTAGATAATCACTATCAGTTAGATGGGTCCCACATGACTAATATTTGAAACAATCAATTATTGGATTCCTAATTAGTGGGCGGCATCATATCAAAAGCTAGATATCTAACCAGTGAAAAATATATTTGGGTCTGTTTAGCTCGTTGATTTGAGTTTTTAATTTAAATAGATATGTGATTTTATATGAGAATTTTTTACTGTAATAAAAAAGTTAAATATGACTATTTTTGATATATTTTTACTGTAATAAAACTCAAATTTTAAACTTAAATCGATGAAATAAACGAGACATTGATATATTTCTCTTCTCCCCTCTTTCCCTTTCTCTCTCTTCACATTTGTTCTTAGTACAGATTTTGGGTTGTGGAGTTTTATAAGAATTTTTGCTCTTCGTGAATTTTAATTTTTAATTTAAGTTGAGATATAATATTTTTAAAAAAAATTAATTATAATAAAAATAATTAGATATTATATTTTTTTAAAATTTTTAATTATAAAAGTTAAAAATTAAAAAATTTAAATACATGAATGAAAGAGACTTTTATAATTCTCATATACCGTGAGCACGAGAATTCAACAAGTGGAACATCGTGAGACCTCTCAAAAATGGTCCATGGACCCGTAACTATTAGAGATCCAACACGACACCCTCAAATCCTTAGAGTACAAAACCATGACACCGTGTGACGTGGGCGTGTAAAGTCACGGGGCAAAGGAGAAACTTTTTTGTTTTTTTTTTTAAGAGTAAGAACAAAGGAGAAACTTTTTTATTAGGAAAAAAAGGGTAGACAATGGAGAATTAAACTTGAATATTGATCAATGAGCCCTCTTAATTCTTATATAAGGGAAATAGTAAGAAATAGGTTAATATAAAAAGTTTAAAAAAGTATATAGGTTAATTTTTAGTTATAAAAATTAATAAGTTATAAATTGTTAAGTTATGGTTTATAATTAGATAAGTTATGGATAAATTTATCAAGTTATGGTTCATAATCAGATAAATTATGGACAAACTTATTAAGTTATGGTTCATAATCAGATAAATTATGGACAATAACTTGTCAAGTTATGGTTCATAACTAGACAAATTATGAATAAAAATAATAATTTAACTCATTTATTAACTTATCTAAACTATTAACTTATTAATTTTAATTCATCTTAAATCTTAACATATTTCTCTATTTCTCTCCTTATATAATTGACTTGGTACGAAAAAGCTAGTAAATACTTGGGATAATATGGGCCGCTCTCACGTCTCGTCAACAACGGCCGCATTCTACGGAAAGCTTGTTTATTATTGTCATGACTACTCTCAAGCGTTTCAATTTTCATCCACCTATTATTATCTATTTTAAGTCCAGTACTCATATAATCCAGTAAAAGTAACATTTTTGGTATTCTCGTGTTATAATATCATTCCTACATATTTATTTTAGTATAACACAGAATGTTATACATGTATTGAATTATATTTTTTATAATATTATAATAAAATATATTAAATATTACACATATATACTAACAATATTACATGAACATATGAAAACGGTTACACATGTCTTACTTGCTTGATTGCCAAACTTAAGACAATTCTAATTTTTTATATTAGGATTAACTACAAAAATTCTCCTTGAATTATACCCCTCGTAAGATTTTATCATCTGATCTTTAAAACATAACATTCATTCATCTGAACAATGAAATGTAAATAAAAAAAACTCTATCTGTTAAGTTTTTAATTGAAATTAACATTTAATTTTCTATTTAAAGATATTTTATGGTTTAAAATTTAATTTGAATTTAAGCTAATTTAAATATTCAAAAAAATTCTTTAATTTTTTATTCTACCAAAAAAATTATAAAATTTTTAGTTTACATTCAATCAATAATGGATGCATTATAATTAAATGTTCAAATTTAAATCAGTTTCAAAATTCATATTAAATTTTAAACTATAAAACTACTAAAATACCATAAAATAATAAATTATATGTCAATTTTCCTTTAAAAAACTAATGAAATGAGCTTTTTTTATTAACATTTTATTGTTTTGTTACGTTTTAAAAATTACATTTCAAAAATTATAGAGCAAAGTGTTACAAAAAGTATAGATTAATTATTTTAGGTAGACTTTTTTAGTCGTCTCGCCGACAGTAGTGCTAGTGTCTCTATGTGTGTACGTACAATGTTCTATATATTAACTAGATCAGCATCTCTGCTTTCTTAATATCCTCATTAGATTTCACTTCTCTCTACTATATCTACATAATATCCCACTTTTCTCTTCCGTAATAAGTTGTATGGACTAATTCCCCACATCTCTCTCTCTCTCTCTCTCTCTCTCTCTCTCTCTCTCTCTCTCTCTCCATATATAGATACTCAAAATATGAAAAAAACAGTGCAGTCAAAGAAGTTCAGAGGGGTCAGGCAACGCCACTGGGGCTCCTGGGTTTCCGAAATTCGCCACCCTTTATTGTATATACGCACCACTACATATATATTAATTCCACTTCCTAGCAAAAATACATATCAATTCCACATATATATATATTCACACCAAGCCACATTTCTTTCTTTGATCTTTTCTGCACAAGTTTGCATTGATCTTGCTCTATATAACTAGTTTTTCATATTATTTCTCCCCAATTTCTTTTCTCAATATCCAACTCAAAATATTCATTAAATATAATACATAAAATTTAATTTAATTACTATGACATTTTCTTTTTTGTTGTGTTATAATGTTATTGTTGTCTACGTGTGACAGAAAGAGAAGGGTGTGGCTTGGGACCTTCGAGACAGCCGAAGCCGCAGCGCGAGCCTACGACGAAGCCGCCATTTTGTTGACCGGTCGGAATGCCAAAACAAATTTTCCCGCCAAAACACAAAATTCCGGTGACCGGAATTCCTCCCCCACCTCTCCGGCGGCGACGTCACAAAAGGGTTTATCGGAAATCCTCCGCGCAAAGCTGAGCAAATGCGGCAAAAAGACGTCGTCCCCGTCGGTGACCTGCCTGAGGCTCGACACCGATAGCTGCAATATCGGAGTCTGGCAAAAGCGCGGCGGCTCCAAGAACGCCAACTGGGTTTTGACCACCGCGCTTGGAAAAGTCGACGAAGGTAGTCCGGATCAACGCAGTTCGACGTCTTCGGAGTTGACTCCGGCACGGGAAGAAGAGAGGTCAACGCAGATTAGAGGAGATGATCAAGAAGACAGTGTTGCAGTATTGCAAATGATAGAGGAACTCCTTCACATGAACAGTCCTAATTGTGAACCTAATTAAATTCCAAGTGGAAATGGATAGAAGCATTTTTACAAACTTAAATATTATACGTAATATCTGCTAATAATGTCACGTGTCGTAGTGCATCATAATTCACCAGTCAAAAATAGTGATGTTCATGTGTGAACACTTGTACTATGTATGCAAAGAAAGTAATTTGGCGAAGTATCTACGGTTTGGAAGCTTGGTCAATGTGTATTCATGGAATTTCTTCCAACATAAATTATTGGTTCTGCTCTACAGATTTAGAGCTCAGTTACTTGCTCCTCTCTAACTATTTTTGTATTTCTTTTTTCTTTTTTTAATGCATTTGATTAATGACATATATATATATATATATATAATCTAATGTCGGGAAGCTCTGATAACTTGAATTTTTAGTGGCTATTCAACAGAATGAGACAATTTATTAATTGTTTGCCATATAATATTGACGAAGATTAGGATTGTTCCATTGATCATCTCGAAAGTAACTTTCAAGTAATCACGAATCTAATCAAATATTAAGTGATGTGACATTTATTCACACCCAGGAGTATTAATTATAGAAAGTTAAAGAAAAGAAACTCAAGATCCACAAAATGTTATATATGCTTAGAGACATTATCTGATATGTTTAAGTTTTTAGTGCGTTAAATTTGCATAAAAATACGTAAAAGTTAAAAAATACGCAGATCTAATGACTATAAAAATTTAACCTGCTGGTACGCCGGCGTATCAGACCCTCTCATATAGTTATTCATTAAAAAAATGAGGTACTCTGTGTGCGTGTGTATAATGACTACAAATATATAGTTCAACAATTCTTTTAAAATAATAATTTCCAACGCTATATAAAAGCAATGCCAAACTGGCTCCAAACTCTCTGAATAAGCTTATTACAAGCAAAGACACGAGATTAGAAATGTCAAAAGAGTTGTGCTGGGCCGACATGGCTCTTATAACCCTAGGCACGTGGCGGGCCAAGGTTGGGCATGAGGAGAAACCCTCAGGTCTAGTACTAGCCCTCGGCCTTAGTCCATAAGGGCCCGGGCCTAGGCCCTTCACGGGCCGGCCCTAGCCCTTTTAATTTTTTTGCAATATTTAATTTTTAAAAAAAAGAAAATATATCATATGCCCTCAAAAGATGTGATTTTATTGAATTGAGATAATACGAATAAATACACATAAATGACTGCCTTGTTAAAAAACCTTACCAAGCAAAACTTGTAGGGAGATCAGAACAAAATCTTAGCAAAGGAAAAAAGAGTGCAGTATTCTAGGATAAGTAAATTACAAAACCTAAGTGCTTCCAGAAGATTCGGTTATGTCTAAACTCAATCTTAACCTAATTTTCTTAATGCACTTGAGTTTCACTTATGATTAACAATTCTTTTTAGGATTTTCTTATCATTTTAAATTTGATTAGAAAAAAAAAAGTAATATAGCATATGCCTAAAAAAAATGTGATTTTATTGAAATAATATGAATAATTATAAGAAAATGTATGGTTGACCAAACGGCATAGGCCGGCCAATTAGCCCTAAAATGCCTCAAAGCTCATTAAAATTTCATGTCGCAAGTCTGGGCCTTCGCGTGCCTTGGCCGTGCCTGGCCCTTTGCGTGCTTGGGCTTTGGCGAGCCTGGGTCATGCCTAGGCTACAAGCCTCAAACGTGAGGCACATCCCAGACCCTTCTGACGTGCCGAGCCGGCCCGACCCATAACAATATAAGGCCGGATCAGGCCGAATTGACCACTATAACGGACTGGGCCGGGCCGTCCATGAACGGCCCGGCCCAATTGACACCGCTACACGAGATGTAATTTTTCTCGTGTCTTTTCAAGAATACTTCTAAGAATACTTTACAACTATATATGTGTGAAGCTTTTAATGCTTCTAATTAATTATAAACTCTACGATCTAATTTTATATTTTAAAATTTCTTTATCCCACTAAGCTCTTTTAAAACTATAACTCCCAACACTATCCAAAAAGTCATATTCTTTTTTTTCTTATTACCTGATTACTTGTCATTAATTGAAGGCCAACGTTAATCATACTTTACCGACGTTGTTTTAACTGCAAAGATATTAATTTAATAATTATAATTAATTAATTATAATTGATTAACAAAAATTTATGACAATTAATAAAATTAAATTTTTATCACACCACATCATCTAATTTCTACATTTAATGGTCCACAATGAAAACATAATCACTAAAATCTCAACCAAATATATGTATTATATATAGATATATATCCAATAATCTAAGTAATAAGCTACCATAGTCAAATGATATAAGACATGGTCATTATAATAGCTATTGTAATAAGTTGAAATTTTTATCTGCTGCTATATGATCTATTTATACTGTAGTTTCGTGGTAGAAACTCAATGTCACTAGGCAATAATTTTGATACCCAACAACAATAAGTGTAGAAATCAGCGCATAGGCTACTGAAGAAGTTGGTTGATGACCATCAATAACTCTATATTTGGTTTTAATGCAGTTTGTCTTTTTGAATGGTCCTAACCTCTCACCCATTTTTTGTACTGGTTTTGAAATATTGGACGTCCATTAATATGACTGGGCAGAAGGGAAAGTTGCAAACACTTGTTCTTTAATGAATACAATAACTAAATATAACAGGTTTTTTTAACAGATTTTATTCGCTCTTAAATAAAGATTTTATACGAGGGTTGATATTTTTTTAATATTTTCAAAAGAAAATGTCGGCAGCATTTTTTTTTTTTTTTTTTTCAGTTTTCACTACATATATTCCTGCATATATAAAATGCCGTAAACCGCGCCTTCATCCAAGTACACCCATTCCGCGGCCAATGCCTTTGTTTGCTGCGACTCCAGTCGTTTGTTCATGTCAAGTGGCATTCTCCATTACGCCTTGATCAACAACGTCGTCTTTGTTGAATCCAGTGAGAAATATTCCGACATTATTGTCTGTTATAAATGTTCTGACAAGAGAGGATCATCATCAAAATCAAGATTAAAAAGTAACTCTATCAAAAAAGGCTTCAAAGCATATATGTTATATTGGTATTCTCTGTAAATTAGATTTTTTTTTTCTCAAAAGTAAAAAATGAGGATAATTAGGAGTGTTGCTACACTTTATGCATGTGGATCGATTATTTGTAAGAAAAATCATTAAAATTTAGGGTCCGTTTAGTTCGCTGATTCGAGTTTTTAATTCGAGATAAAATGTGACTTTATGTGAGAACTTTTTACTATAATAAAAAAGTTAAATATGACTGTTTCTGAGAGCTTTTTACTGTAACAAAACTCGAATTCTAAACTCTAATTGGTGAAATGAATAAATCCCACTAACCTCCAGCCATCGTTAGTCCAAGCAGAATAAAAGCCTCGGATGAACTTCATGTTCTTTTGTCCAAAAAACTCAAAAAAAGACAACTCAAGTTTCAACTTTATTTAAGTTCACGTTCTTTTAAGTTTTAACTTTATTCAATTTTACTCAACTTTATTCAAGTTCTAACTTCAACTCAAGTTATAACTCAAATTTAACTCAAAAACTACACTCAAGTTACACTCCAAAAGAATAACCCCAAGTCTTTTAACCTATTCCCCTAAAGAGCCCTCTATCGATGAAAAAAAAACACAGGCAAAATATAGCGTATATTCTTTTTCTGGCCGTGGGCTAGGCTAGGGACCCCAGTTATTTATAAACCTAGCACTTTCTCCCATCAAGAAAGTGGCCAAGAAAATGGGTAAAAACTTATCCACAATTGATCAGATTTTTAGGCTCCACTATCCCCTATCAATACTTGATAGTTACCACCATCGCCCACTACTTTTTTTTTTTTTTGAAATTTAAATAACTAAATAATTGAGTTAATATTTGAATATGGACTTCTTAATTAGGAAATTACGTGGATTTTCTAAACATTCTCCCACTTGGTACATTGTCAAAAATTAACCTAAAGGGTGATGACTTATCACATCATTTAGATGCTTAAAGGTAACTATACAATCCAAATGATAGTGTAACTTTTACTCCGAAGAAAATCTAACGCATGAATCATGGCGGTTATGTTCTTTACGAATAAACATTTCCTTCCATATAACACTTTCAAATTCAGTACTATATCACTTTATGAATGAACTTCCTATAAGTCATTCAGGGTCCAACTTAAACAATCCTGTTGGGTAAAAATATTTATTAATGTTGAAATAATATTTTACACACAACATAATTTAACCTATCTTAGGATTTAATTAGCATAGAAATTTATTATTTTTAGTTCGACTCATTCAAGATTATAAGAATAATCTCTTAATTACAATCCCTTAGTACAAGGAAAAACCTTTTGATTCCAATTAAAACGGTAAATTCTATTTTCTTGTGAATTTGGGAAATTTGGGTTGATTTAAAATTGCGGCTGAACTCAGTGAATTTTGTCGAGTTGCCTACATACCCCATTAGGGGATCAAGCCACTTGTAGTTCGAATTTTGGGTTTGAAAATTTTGGATAATTCCTCAGTGTATGACCTTATGAGGAATTTACGTACTTTAAAATTTGATTTAATTTTATTTTGATTCTGTCTTTTATGAGAATTTTCAGACTTGAATTTGATCTTGAAACTGCACCTAAATTTTAGGTTGCCTACGTATCCCATAGGGAATCAAGTCAATCGTAGTTCTTGATTTGGGTTTGGATTTTGGAGAATTCCCCGATATATGACCATAGGAGAAATTCAAAGATATTTTAAAATTCGATTTAGAATTTTACTTTAGAATTTAGATTTGAAAGTTATATTTGGATCGGTATATGACCTTATGAGGAATTAAAAGATGTTTTAAAATTTGATTTTGAATTTTACTTTAGAATTTGGATTTGAAAGTTGTATTTGGATAATTCACCAGTACATGACCTTATGAGGAATTAAAAGGATCCTTTTTAAATTTGGTGTTGAGAATTTTTTTATTTGAATTTGGGATTTGAAAGTTGTATTTAATCACCATATAGTTTTATGAGACAATGGGCTCATCTTTTTGAACTAAGGGATCATAAAGGAGCTCAATTTGTGCACTTTAAATTTTTGAGTATTTAATATTCCGAATTTTTTTAAAATTTCTCCTTTATCCCTTATCTTTTTTTTTTAATTTTGAATTTCATCATATCTAAACCGATTGATCCGATTGTATGATGTATATCCCTTCTTTCTTGCTAACAATTTGATTTCAAAGGAGATTTGGATTTCCCTCGTCCTCATCCTTTCTACACGTTCCCTATTTTTT